GTCAGGCCAGGCAAAAAATTTGTGAGACCCCCATCTCAACTAATGGCTGGGTGTGGTGTGCATATCTATCATCCCAGCTATTCAGGAAAGCACAAATAGGGGGATAGCAGTCCAGGCTGACCCCAGCATAAAATGAGACCCATATGTAAAAATTACCAATGCAAAAAGGACTGGCAGAGTGGCTCAGTGGTAGAGTGTCTGCTTAGTAAGTTCGAAGCCTGATTTCAACCTCCAGAGCTGCTATAAAAACAAAACAAAACAAAACAAAATGTAACATCAATATGTTTCAGTGACAGTGGTCAGGATTCAGATTTATGTGTCAACATATGTTTAAAACATTTTTTAATCATTTAAATGGAATATTAGACATAATATAGACTATAAGTTATTGAATGCTATCATATATGTAAATATACCTAAAATAATGTCTGGTATAAATTAGGCATTAAATAAATCCCCTCTTCTTATTTCTCCTCTCTTTGTTAGAGTGGAGAAATAAAAAGCAAGTACCAGAGAGTCAGCCTGTACTCTGCCACTCTGTCATTTAATGAACTCTGTCATTTAACCTCTCTGAGCTCCAGCTCTCAAAAGGACTATCCAAGAGGCTACAGGCTACAAAATATTATGCCTAGTATTAAGTAAGGTTCCCAAGTGTATTACTGTACACCCAGATGAAGCTAGGAGCTGCAGGAGTTGAGAGTGATGTTTGTCAGGATGCTCTTAGTGGAGAAAAAAAAGCCATTAGTCAAAGCTAGCACATCTACAGGCAAGCCAGGCTAGCTCTTCTGTAAATATTCCAGTAGAGAACAAACATGATGCAGTTTCTCTCTAGTGTACATGTTCTACTTTTTCTATTTTTGCCAAGAGAGCATGTAATTCCTTCAAATTACACAAGAAGCAATAGCAACAACTAGTTTTGGAATTTTTAGAAACATATAAGAAAGTGCTCAATGATGTGGTTATGGTTTTGTTCACCACTATGCACCTCTATTGTGCACTCAGTAAGAACTTTTTAACCATCTCAACAAACCATCTTTCCTCAGGCTTTTCCCCAAATGATGCTCACTGGCACTCTCACCTCAGCCCTGGTCACTGTTACAGGAAACCCAGACCCACAGGTAAATGCAAAAATGCAATAGTAACCCAAGGAGGGACAAATGTCACCAAAACAATACCTTCCCCGTCAGGCTTACTTGATTTTGTTGTCCTCTTTGTGACTTCATAGTTCACTCTTTGCCTACATCAAATTGACAGAGATAATGCTAGACTATTATAGAAAGCAATTTGTGACCTTGGGGTACAGCAGATTGCTAAGAAGTCTGTAGTCTTTAAAATACTTTACGGACTAGTTCAATCTCTTCATTCTACCCAGGGGTGTGGGGAAAGGGGTCAAAAAGGTCACTGGACTTCTACAGGTCACACAGATCATTAGTGATGAAGCAGTGACTGAGATCATTTGAGTCCTGTTACATTGGCCAAGTACTTTAATTAGGGAGAGAGGATAAAGAAAAAGGGTGAAAAAATGAGAGAGGGAGTGTTTCTAGATCTGTTGGTGCTCTCAGGAGTTGATGGAAAAATGCTATCTATGTGGTCTAAAAGAAAACAAGTTTTGGCTTAAAGTTTCCAGTAAAGAGAAGATTGCGCAAATTCTTCAAATATTTGGTTTTGACCTCCCCCTCTTCTGCTTTTGTGTGAAGCTACTATGTCCAGTACCTCTAGTGTCTTCATATTAAAAAGAGACTCTACTATGGCTCATCTTGAGGATATTTCCTTTTCTGAACGGGAAGTGATACACATGGAATGGGTATGAGCAAACTGAACATTTTTCTTAGCCTGATGATAATGCAACCAGAGGCAAATAACCATGTCTTTAATGCATTGTAAAAGTGATGAACCTCATGGCTTAACCAGAGTTAGGAATGCATTAACACATATAGTTAGTTAGTGTGATCAAAGGTCTTATTTTGGGGGAGATTTTCAGTAAATGTTAACAATATTGAGAGAAATCTTGCATTAATTATGAAATTTACATGGCTGATGTTATTTGAGTTTGAGTGCAGTATACCTTCTTTACTTTGAAAAAGCATTTGAGTTTAAGCAGTGCTTTATCCTTGTCAAACAATGCTGGGTTTTCTTTCTTTTTATCCTCCACCTCTTTAATTGATTTAGGGTGGATCCCACATCTGGATACCTATATCCCTTAAGTGTCTGATTCTGAAATAAAAATGAAAGTTGGAAGGTATTGGAGTGGGAGGAAGGGGCCACTTTAATTGCCTCAGGGAATCTCCTAACCAATTTTCATTTGCCTTATTGGTGTCCTTGGATAAAGGAGAACGGAGGGAGGTGGCAGAAAACCCAAGGGACTACAAAAAGTCACGTGCAAAAGCAACACAAAAGTAGATGGGAACCGAACTTTGAGGCATTTCAAGATAGACAGTATTGAGACTCTTTATGATAACAATGCAATCATTGTGTGCTGTGGCGTCATGATTTTCCTGCTTAATCGTGATAGGTAACTACATAAATAAATACAATTTCACACCATTGTCTAGCTCCAAACACAAAGTCACACTATAGGGAGCTTAGTACCAACCGCCCTGGAGCAATCAGATAAAATAATGTGTGCACAGTCCTGGAGTTTGGGATCAGGTGTTCTTTTGTATGTTTTTATTTTGATGAAATAACATTCTGCGCATGATCGTGACTTAAAACTGGTCAACAAGGCTGGAGACCGCGCAGTGCCTGGTGGAAGCTCGCTTCGATCGTCTCTCTCCAAACCCGCGCTCATGCCCGGAAGTACGCTCAGGGAGCGAGGAGGGGGATCTGGGACACACGGTAGCCTTGTCACAGGCCGGGGGCACTGGGGAGCTGTGGGAGGGAATGTAAGCTCCCGGCCGTCCTGCCGCCATGTGCTCCGAGCTCAGGCAATGTCTAGATGGTAGCCACACTCGCCGAGATCGGTGCCTAGTTAAGTTCCCAAAGGGTGGCACTCTCTCCTGCTCCTGTCCTTTTCCGTCGGCCCCACTGTGTGCAGAAGGAGTGAAAAGAGGCAACTTGGGTGTTTGAGACTTGTGGGTAGTGTCAAGGAGCGTGTTTGCAGCCCACACTCTAGATTTCTCCGAGATGCAGTCCATCCATCAGGCGCCACTTGGAACCACCTTGGGGTTCAGAAGGAGGGAGTTCGGGGGTGCTGGTGGAAAGGTAGTATGCAGGGACTCGATACCGCGGGACTGCGGCGCGGTGTCCCGGAGTTGCAGAGAAGTTGCTGGTTGGGGTGGCAGGGTCTGGCAGGAGTTTAAACTGTGGGGCGCAGCGAGAGCCAGTAACTGAGCGGCTCCACTTATTTGGGTCTCAGGTGGCTTCTGTGCTAAATCGAGGAGACACAGGTCAGGGAAGGGGCTTTAGACTTCGCACAGTGTTCTCCAAAATGTAAGGAAAAAGTGGTTTCCCAAATTGGCCGTGCTCGGGCCAATGTCGGTCCTGAATCTCCGGTCTGGGTCAATCTTTCTGGTGGTGGGGCTCTCCAAAGGGTCGCGTCGTAGGGGAGCCCGTTTCTGGGCACGTCCCTTCCTGATTCTTCTTCATCAGCTAGGGCCTCCCCCGTCGGGGATAGGACTCACCCAGAATTTGTCCCCCCCGCGTGGTGGTCTACCCTTGGTCCCCTCACTCCACCGGCAGTCCACAACCCTTCAGAGCGTTCACCTCTGCTTAGGCGACCTCACTTCAGGAGAATCTGGAATGGCAGGACCAGAGAGGGTGGCAAGTCTCCTGGTTACGCGGTGGGTGGTGGTTTTAAAACGAGAGGGGTTAGAAGGAGGTAGGCAGAGAACTGGAAGCCTCTGGGGGGGTAATTCTCCCACCCCGTGGCAACAGAGCAAAAACCTTGAGCAAACGTGTCAACTGTTCCCCAGGCGATTACAGGACACCCCCACACCACCATATCCCCTTTCTTTGCTCCCCAAGAAAGGCGAAGCCCTCTTGGAAAGCCATGGGGCTTGTCTCCCTGGGCCATCACCAGCTTTTCTCCACCAGGGACATTTCGTTCTGGCTCTGCCCAGCCTTTGAGTCCAAGGCCTGGGGAGTTCCTGTGTGTCCTCCTCCACGCCCGTGACAAAGTGCTCGTCACTCTGCAGACGTCCAGCCTTGCACCAAGCTGCGCTGCCTCCTGTGCACGCCAGCAGATCGCGGAGGGTCATGTTTTTTTTCCGGCTCGGGCGGGGATTCTTTTCTTGCTGGGTCAGAACCGGTCCTGGTCAGGTGCCCCACGAGATGCCTGGCAAGCCTTGTCACCAGCGTCCAGCCAGGCCCCTAGCAGATCTCCCCAGCAGCCTCCAACTTAATTTCTTGCCCCTGGTGGCAAGTTCCTCTTGAAAATCACTCCCTGACCCCTACTCAAGAGCTAGGAGATTTTCAGATCTCCATAAAAAGGCACAATTAAAGAGCAGGGTGGGGCGGCTCGGGCGGAGCAGGGTTCTTGGGATTGAATTTCTCCCTATTTTGAAGGATTTCGGGCGGTTACAGCACAAGTTTGTGCACTTGGTCGACAGAGGGAATGCAAATAGAATAGTGGCCGAGGAAATGTAGTTTGTCCAATTGTGGGTGCAGATGGGCGTGTGGAAACGCTTGCGATGTGAACTTTCTGACGATCGTATACCGAAGGAGCTAAAGGAAAGGAGGGAGGGGAGCGGGGCCCGAAGGGGCCTCATGGCGAGGACCGTGCTGGCGTGGGGAGGTGTCTGTGTGCCCGGGAGTGTGGGGGATGTCGAGGCGAGGGCAGAGGAAGGAGTCGACCACTAACTGCGGGCTAATTGGCTTAAGGCATTTTGCAAGCGCTGGAAAAGGTCGTTGAAGGAGTTCGCTGCACAGAAAAAAAAAAAAAAAAAAATCTTAAAAAAGACTGCCGGGCATGCGCACAGAGAGGATGCCATATTGGAATGAGGCTGTAGTGGGAGCTGAAGGACCCGAGCGCGCGCGCGAGGGAGGCGGCGGATAGCGAGCGAGCGAGCGAGTGAGCGAGGGCGGGCAAGCGAGCGAGCGAGGCCCGCAGCCTCTCCCGCTGCACCCCGGGTCAGGGTCCACGCCAAGGGCAGGACAAACTTCATCAGGTAGGACTCCGCGCCGGACAGTGTCCCCCCGCGCCCAGCACGGCCCACGAGCAGACCCTCTGGCCCGCAGGTCGAGTGCGCTGGTCAGTGTTTTTTTTTTTTTTTTTTTTCCAGCTTAGCAAAGAAAAAAAAAATCCTGAACAAGCCTGGGGTGGGGGTGGGGGTGGGGGGTTTGGAAGGAAAGAGGAGAAGAGCCAAAGAGAAAGAAGGGTGGAGAAGAAAGCGACGGCACTTGAGGGAAGCCCCAAACTCCTCTCTGCGCTCTGGGTTGTCATTTTTGTTTCCTCTGTCCCCTTTCCCCGAGTCCCCGGCTCTCAAAAGCTCAGCCGATCACGAGTCTGTCCGGAGTTGCAAAGTGTCCTCCTCCTCTTCTGGTTGCAGCCTGTTCCCTCCCGCCACCCACCTTCCTCGTTTGTGCACTGGTTTTAGCGGCGCAGCCGCCCCTGCTACCTACTCCGCGCTCCCGCGTCTTCTCCGCGCTGGGGTCTCCTTTTGGTGTGTGTTTGGTGATTTGTGTGTGTGTGGAGGGGGGGGGGCGGATGAATATGGTTGAGGGGTGGTGGTGGTGGTTGCAAGCCAGCAAACGGGTCAAACATTGCACAGACGTTTGAAATCGCCCCCTTGGAAATAATTGCTTGTGCAGCTGAAATGAAATTGTCAGTAGTAGTTTTGGAGCAAGCTCTAGCAAGGATGATCTTTTTGTTCATTTCCCCCCCCCCTTAAAGTAATATCGTGTCACTTGGGGCTTTCCTGTTGTGTACTCTCGTCTGACCTCCTTTCAAAATTACTAAGTCGATCGAGCTCTGGAGTTTATTTTTTAATGTGTGGGTGTGTGTCTTGCCGAAACCCTCCAAAAGCAACTGTAGGAAGTACTAGATGTATTTATTGATATTGACCCGGGGCGGCAGGAGGGGGTTAGTCGGGGCAGGGGGAGCCTGGGCGGTGGAAAGTGGTTGATTCGCGGTGGCCGGACGCCCGTCGACAGCCCAGTCCATACTTGAATTTTCTTGGAAGCGCTACAGCAGCGGGGAAGGAGTCTTTAGACACTGTGCCAGTTCCAATATGGCGGGCTAAGGTGGCTTTTAAAAACTGAAAATAAAGGTTTTGTGATGGGAAAAAACCCAACCGAGGTGGCCACGCCTTAGTTTCGACTCTCGTTGGTTACTCCAGGAGCCGCTTTAGCGAATTAAGTGAGAAAAGAGAGAGAGGACGAGCTGCCCCAGTTTTTTCCGTGGTTAGAGTCTGTGTGTCAAACCCATTACTAGAAGGTACAGGGTGCAGGAGTGCCTCGGGTCGGGACTAGGACATCCAAGGCTCTGTGTGCCTGTGGCTCGGGGCACACGCCTGTATGCAATTGCGGGGTGTGTGTGGGGAGATAAACAGATCCGCCCCGAATGTGTGTGTGTGTTTCGGAACCAGACCCAGCGACGATTTGACGTGACAAACTGATGACACGTGGTGCAAAATACATGAGGCCAGGGGGAGTGATTTATTTCTGTTTTCTTGGAGACGAGCTCGCTCTCACCCTCTGGGTGCTGCATTCTGTGCGAGCAAAGCTCGGAATAGGTGGAGCGGGGTGCTTATTAAAAAAGACCAACAGTTCAGGTACCTGGGTGCCTTCGGGCTACAGTAGCTCACTGGGATTTTGTGTGTGTGTGCCGCATTTAGTAGTGGGTTCCTACTTCTCTCGCCGCGTGTCGGTGGGAGGTTGGGGGCCAGGACCGAGGCATGGGGACAGCTAAAGTGGAAGGACCTGGGGGGTTGGGGGAGGGCGGACCTCTGCCAAAAAGCCGTCCTAGGTCAAGGTGAAGAGTTGCCAGGGTACTTTAGGATTTAGCGCTCTAGGGGAGGTGGCGGATGGAGGGTCACGTTCCTGGTTGAAATTTTGTCCCTTGCTCACACAGGGCACCCACCAGGCTACTACCGAGAGGGGCGTCCTCAGGCCGTGGCCGGCGCGCGATTGGGGCTGTAGCCTTGGGGTGTGCCCGCGAAAGGCCCTCATGTGGGACCTGGAAGGGTCTGGTAGTGAAGTTTGGAGACAAAAATCAGCCCGTCAGGGGAACCTTAGAGGAAGCAAAGCCACCCAGAATGTGGGAATGTAGGTTAACCGGGAATGGGTCCCCGATAGGGGTCGCCCGAGTCCAGGACGCAGCCACCAAGCCCAGGACGCGCGGCAGTGCCAATGGGAAAGACCCTGGTAGGGGGGCGGGGGCCACGCGGCGGTCGCACACGGTACCCGATAGGGCAGGTTCCGGGGACTTTCTCCGGCCGTCGAATCCAACAGTGCAGCGATCAAATGCCAGGACATGTTTTTAAATGATACGTGTTAAAAAAAAAAACAGTGTTGGTCAGAGCTATAGTTACCGCAGCAACGCGGTCCCCGGCCATTTGCAGGGGCCGGGAGAGGGGCTCCCTAGGGTCACTTAGACGCCGCTCTGTTGGAGGTGCCAGTATCCTCGCACTGTGTCATGGATGGGGGACGGGTGCAAGGGGCAAGTGGATTGGAGACCCCGCCCCAGGGTTTCCCTCCCACCGGGGCGGCGAGGCTGAGCGATTGGCGCCTCGCGGACCCACCGGCGTTTCATCCCTTAGGGTGGAGCGCGCCGCGCGTCCCCGTCCCCAGCCTTGCAGCTTGCTCCTGGGTGCGTCCTCCCAGGACAGCTCTTCCGTGGGCTCCGCCGAGGTGGAGACCAGCCTAAAATGGCTCTGCATTGGTAAAGTGCAGTTTCAGCCTCCGACCCCTCCCCTCGTCTTCTGACGTCGCCGCTGACAAGGGCACAATTCACTCTATCGCCTCGAAACCCACGGTTTTGCACCGGCTGTGCCGTGGAAACGAGGGACAGTTACAGAGATCATTCCACAGGATTCTCGCGGGGCCCAAGTTTGCCTTTCTCGTGGGGAAGAGAGAGAAGAGGGAGGAACTGAGACGGTGCAGGAGCCTAGCCGACCACCGCCCCAGCACCAAGGGGGACCTGGGGTGCTGCAGCGGCTGGGGACATTTACGCATAAAAAAAACCGAGGGAAGTCCCGGGGGACGCTAGTGGTAGCGGTGCGGAGCGATGCCCACCGACACTGGTGTTCATCTTTGATGGCATTTCCAGTGTCCACGAACCTCTAGACGACGCCGGAAGCCAGCGAGAGCGTCCCCAAACTTCGGCTGGAGACCTGCTCGCAGTTTCGCTTTCGGAATATTTGGGATCTTTGGGATTCTAGAGTTGGGAGGGATTCCAGGAAGAGCCAGGCGACCTTCGTTCCCTCCTTGTGCGGTGGCCCGAGTTCTCGCTCTCCCCCGCATCGCGCGCTTTTGCACCCTGCGCCTGGAGGAGCTGTGTGGAGTTGGGGGCTCCCCGCCGCGCAGCCCCTGCGCCCAGCAGTGCAGCCGCCGCGGATGCGCAGCCACTGGTAGAAAACAGCTTTCCACCCTAGCCCACCTCGCCAGGATCCGAATCCATCGTCGCTGTCAACCAGTCTCCTTAACCCCTCTACCATTGCACCACAGTCAAGGCACCCAGGGAACCGATTGGCATTTCTCCACGGAGCGAATGGATCCAGGTTACACCAGGTCTGAGAAACAAACAAACAAACCAAAAACCCAAAAACTAAAAACAGGCGTAAATTTGGCCTCATTTCCTGGGGGTGGGGTGGGGGCGGGGAAGGAGATTGAGCGAGTTAGGGAAGGGGGAGGGGAGAGGCCTTGGTGGTCAGAAGGAATTATTGGCCACTTTCCCATGCTCCTTTGAGATAGGAGAGCTGCTACTTTTTCCCTACTAAGCATTAAATTTGCACGCCCTCTGCTTCCTCCCTGCCATAAATAAATACTCAGATCTTTTATCTTAGCTGGTGGCTGAGACCCAGTCGCCTGTCTGTAAGGTGGGCAGAAGAAATGTATGCACACTCCAGAGTCTCCAGGCCTTCACCAAAGATTTTACTGACCGCAGGACCCACCCTGTTTTGCTCTGTGTTGCTCTGTAGACAGTATTGTCTCTTTTCAGTTAGGGTACCTGTACCCAGCATTCCCACCTGGAGATGTATTTCACTAGTGACCAGAGTAATTGCAGAGAGAGGTCTTTCTTTTCATGTATTCTTGAAGAAATTATGAAGTTTTTTTTTTTTTTTTTAAAGATCTTGCTAGTTATAAATGACCGGCTCCATGATTCTTGACATTAAAAAAAAAGAAAAGAAAAGAAAAGAAAAGGTCAGATTAGGTTCCTGACTCCTTCCTGGTTTTTTCTTTTTTATTCTAAGGTTTTCCTGAGAATTTTAAATGTCCGTCTAATCCCTCTTCTGTCCACTCTAGCTGAGGTGGCACTTTTCACTTTCCTCTGCATGCCCCTGACTCCAGAGGACTCTGAGAAGAGTGACTAGTTGAGGGACTGTTTCTCTGGGCCTAAGAACAGGAGATTGGATTTACTTAATGCAGAATGCTTTGGGGGGTCTAAAAGTTCATACAGTAAAAATTCAAACTTTCCAGGGCCTACCCTTAAGTCTATCAGAGTAAAAGAATTTTTTCTCTCTCTCTCTCTTTAAATTTGAATCAAAGAGGGTCACTGTGAGAAATGTCCTCCAGGTCTGGTATAATAGGTATGGACATTCCTCTTTCTGTTTTTCACTTTTGGAACTTTTAGAGTTCGTGTCTTTCTGAGTCTCAGGCTTCTTGTCTATAAAAGAAAGACATTGGACTGAAATGTCACTCAGTAATCTCCATGCTTCCATCTGGGAAAACATCAACACATCTGTGGTTCAGTACATCTGTGCTGACCTGTCTAACTGATTCTTCTTTTGGGTTCATGTTCCTAGAGTATAGTGAAAACATTGCCAGCGCAAGGTGACAGTTGTGTGGGAAGAGGTCTGAAAGCTGCTGGAGGGTTGTAGTTTGCTATGAAGAAGTGCTGTGCTGTTATTGCTCAGTGTCATAAACTCCCCCGAGGTCCTGTTTCCATTTGTACTCTGGAACAGGTATAGGGAGTGGAAATTCAGGCACAGCAGGTGTGGCCTTCACA